ACAAACTCTGCATTTAGACTTTGCTCTTCTTGATAAGACTACTCTTAGGACAGAGGAGGCTAAATTCAAATGTTACCAAGTTTTATGTAGTTCACATTACCCTCAGTGAGTTGACAAAGAGTAACGTAGGAAAAAAAGAAGAAATCTGGGTGGAATTAATTAACCTTGAAGAATGACAGTTACCTCATTCCTAACAATATGTTTGGGGTAATGTCAGTCTCTTAGAAAGTTCACATGTAAAATTATAGTGCTACTGTCAGCATTTTATTTGAGCTGAGAACTGTAATATTGAACTATTAACTCTTGTTCTGATCTGCACTGATTTCTTAGCTAGCAGTAATTTTGATATTGTGATTTATGAAGCTTTGCTAATGACCTTAGTTATGTTTGGGAGAGAAAACTACCAGGCAGTCACTACTTGACAAACACCCCTGTGGCTCATCTCCTTGGAGAAGAGCTAGCTCTTCTGTGAAATGTATCTTTTGTACCACATTTTCATGAGTGGGATTCACTTGTTTCCTAGTTGAGCGATGATCAGTCTGGCCCCAGCTGTCAAACCACGGTTCTGCCATAAGTGAGACCGAGAGAGGGAAGATGAATGTGCCAAGAAAGAGAACTGCAGGAGGCCTAGCCTGGTACACAGAGCTTTGCCAGTATTTGGCCTGCTAGAAGAAAGTTGATTATATTATGACACTGACACAGTGATGTGAAGAGGCGGCCCTTGTTCAGAGTGTCTGGAGAGAATGCAACCTTGGGGTGTGTTAGATGTCATACAATGGTAGTGTCCAAGGAAGGAAGGGCGTGGAAGGCCATCTAGTCTTTGGATACAAGCCTTCCTTCCTCCCCCTCCTGCTCGAAACTGGTGTCTAGTGTTTAAACGATGATCACGTGACCTCTTGCTGACCCAGACACAGTGCTGAGCTATGTGGACCCATCCCACTGCATCCTTGGTCAACACACATGCCACTTCAGAGCTCTGCAGCACTTCTTGCAGACAGGGTTCCCTCTGTGCTATGAGAGCCAGCCAGGGAGCTCATCGCCTTCCTCCCCCATGCTCATACCATTGAACTTTGGAATATATGTTGTGAAGTTAGGTGAAGAAGGAAGCTGCGAAATGTACAATCTGTTTGGGAGGGGAGCAAGCCATCCTTCTGTCTGCCTCTGGTGATGCTAGATGTTAGCCATGTGGCTTTCCTGAATAGAAGATGACCATCTGCATAGACACAGCAAGTTGCCTGAGATGCCCTGCCCTGTGAGGTTCCGTGCCACTCTCAATTTGTGTCCTGATGAACTTACACAGGTCACTTCCATCCTGTGTGGCACCATGGGAGCTGTGAGCAGGCCCGTGCCTGAAATGATTGTTTCCCCACTGTGGTCCTATCGGTGGAAGTCACCTCCCTGTGTCCTTTGAGGAGGTGCTGGCCTGTGGGTGTGTCTGCATCACCCACATGTGGTCAGCAGGAAACTTGTGAGCTGCACAGACTGACAGTGTCCACTAAGGCTTCTCCTACTCAGGGGAAGGGGGTCCTCTCGAGGGGCTGTGCTCCTCTGGTGACACCTGTGCTGTGGCCTCATAGGGCAGCAGGTTCCACTGCAATAACCAGCTCTGCATTTAACATGAAGGGGCTGGGTTTGTCTGGCATCTCTGCACCTCCACTCTCTGCTACAAGTTTTCATTTGCACCCTCAGCTTTCACCGGTGTTCCATTCCCTAGCTGTGGGAGGTAGTTCCAGTATATTTAAGATAGAAGCAATTTTGTAAAATACAGATTCTCCCAAAAGATAAGCAAGTTATGCATGAGCTTTGACCACATCTCATTAATATGAAATGGGAAAATGAAGGAATGCCAACAATGGATTTACTAACAGTTACAAAACATTTTCAACATGCTAGATATTATGTGTTCTGCATATTAGCTCACCTGGTATATAAAGTGTTACCAAGAGTCAAGGTGTTTACAGAATGAAGTCCGCTGTCATTTGACATGGAGGATCTGTTTTGAGGAGCACATCAGCGGGTGATCTCCTCGCTGTGGACACCTTGGTGTTGCTCATACCAACCTAGGTGCTGCAGGTCAGTCCTTGGGTGTGGTCTTGTCAGGTAAACATGAAATGAGTGAGGCAGCTGCAGGGATAGCTCAGCACACTGCTCACAGTACACTGTTTAAAAAAGTATAAGTAAAGGGCTACACTCTAAAGTGGGGATTAAAAGTATAAATCCATAAGCCCGCACCACAATGGCTTATTGTCATCATCAAGTGTTACGTATTGCATGTAATTCTGCAGTGTGCTTTTATGGAACAGGAACTGCACTACAGGTATTTGAACCAGTGCACCACAAATTCACACATAATGTGTTACTTGCCTCCACTTTAGAGAGATTTGGGGTCACTGGGCAATAGGGAATTTTCAGCTCCATTAAAATTTCATGATACCACCAAGGTACGTGTGGTCCATCATGGATGGAAATATTCTTATGCAACCACAACTGTGTATAAATGCTTGCTTCTTATCCATCAAATGGAAATGCTTATCCATCAGACAAAACACATAGCGTCCACTCAACGGGCCCCAGGAAGTAAGATCTCTAGAATCCCAGCTGTGTCATGACCTTATTCAATGTAAGGGTGGCTGCTTACAAGATTTTTCCATTTCCAGTGGTACTCCAAATTTAGGACTCACTTTCATCTGCTGTATCTTCACTTTTTAAATTTCTTGTCCTGTGATAGAGACGTACCCAGAGTCCTGGTTGGCTGTCTTCTAATGTACTTAGCTTTAGGAATGCATAGAGGGTAATGCACCAACCTCAGGTCTCCCACTGAGGTCCTTGGGAAGAGACACTCAGCTCCGGGGCAGTCCCATACCAGAGCCCTGGAAGGATGTGCTGTCAGGGGATGAATGGAGGAAGGCAGGGAGGGCAGAGGAAGAAGCCTGTCTGCAAAGCGATAGCAACAGAGGCTCCTTTCAGGACCCCTTCAGAGTTGCTCTGTATTAATCCAGGACCCTGTAGGCCCCTCTGACCCATGAGCACTTGAACAAGGCTGCTCCCTGTAACTGAACCTGATTCTATGTGGTGCCCAGCTTCAGAGATGTCTACTGTTGAGGGTGTGCAGGGGGCATTGGCCCTAGTGAGGGAATCTAGAGCAAACTCCCCAGTAGCCGCACCAATGGTAATAGGGAAGACACCTCTGCCAAGATGGCGCCTCTCCCATCCTGCTCTGTGTAGTGTTGCCCCCAGGCTCTACTCCCACTCCAGTGCTCTGAGGCTGCCATGGTACCAAGGTGGGTCCAGCTCTACTCATACATGCAAGGAGCAGGTTCAGAACGGTTGTTCCAGAACCAGTCTGTGTACACAGAATCTCTTTACCTTCCTACCAAATCGTGTAAATTGGGTGTGTGCAAATGGATGGGCACATGCATTTTATCACACAAGCTTTGTAGCAACCCATCGTGTTCCAGGAGCCTGGGTCTGTGCACAGACCACCCTTGGCCAGTCTAGGTGGGGGAAGGGCAGGCTGGATGCAGCCTGCGGGTGCCTGCTCTGACCCCCGGATGGGCAAAGCTTCACTGTCACATGCAGCTTTAAGGGGAGAAAACACAAACCCTAAAGACCTTGCTGGGAAAGACGGAACCCTGGTCCTGCCCGCATCCAGCCCTATGTCCTTGGTCAGGTGACAGCTACTGGGTCCTCATGTCGCCTCCCGCAAAATGCCCACAATGATGTAGCAGAGCTGCTGCTCACAGGAGTAGGTGAAATCAGCCCTTGTGAGAGGCGCGCCAGTGAGGTTGTTTCCACCACTGAGCAGCGACGTTCACTTCCAACGCCTGGTGATTCTTTTCACTCTTAGGAATATCGGCCTGAGTGCAGCTCTGCTTTGAAGAGTTGCAAAGAAGCATAGTTATCTGAGATTATCTGAGAAGTCGGCCTTCACGATATTTACAAATCTTTTGTGTAATTTTGGACTCTGGCAATTGAGTTTCATTTGTTTGCATACGCAGTCCTCTGTAGGTCTCTGCTGCTGGGCTCACCGCGGGCCCTCAGGAAATGACTCAAAAAGCCACATAGAGAGGAATGGGTTTGTCCACATTTTAATTGTAGTAGTTACAACAGGAACCGTTTACATAAAAAGATCAGAGAACTAATTTAGATAATCATATTGTATGCAATGTGCATCTACTAGGCTGTGTGTCTTGAAGTATTGAATTCTGTATAGCAACAACGAATTATATGTGGGATGTAGTGTTACAGGAATGAGACAGAACCTGTAGCAATGGCATATTGTATGTGTGTACATTTTGACATAGAATAATTATATAAGGCATGTAGGCAGTTGAACCAGAAGGAAGAATGTAAAAAAAAAAGAATAACTCAGAAACTATAGGCCAGTGTAATTGGGTGATGCCATGGTCAAAGCTCTCTTTTATGTTTACCAATTCCCAACAAAAACTGTATGGGTGATTTGACATTCTATTTTCTGACAATCAATTGTTCTTTTAGAATATGATCTTCGTTTTTAGTATTTAAAATATTGTGGTTAATGCCACTGAGGGTTAGGACTGAATACATCAATACCCAAAGCACTGGAACCTAGCAACTGGCTATATTGATGTGTTCCCCAATGCCTCTCCCTGTGGAGGTCCACTGGAAGTTAGGCTCTGTGCTCCAGGTGAGAATGTGACCCTCAGAGCACAGTTTTCATGAGGTGTGCATGTCAGTGGGAAAGAGACAATCAGTGAATCAGAAATACAGAACATAAAGTTCTGCTAGGGGCAGTTCTGGTGGGGTGGGGGGCAGAACAAGGAATGAAACAGGAGGCTAAAGTTAGCAAATTATCAGGAGTGAAGATGGAAGAGAATGTATCCCAACCTCTCAGTCCATAGTATTTGGAGCACTTTGGAATGTGTTCATGGGGGTTCCTCCTGGGTATTTCCCAGGATGCCCCTCCTATTTCCCAGGATGCCCCCTGGGTATTTCCTAGGATGCCCCTCATATTTCCCAGAATGCCTCCTGGGTATTTCCCAGAATGCCCCCTGGGTATTTCCCAGGATGCCACCCGTTCCCCCAGGCAGATGCAGCTGCACCTACAGAAACAGTTTCCCTTACCACCTCTTCTGTTATCTTCCTGCAGTTTTCAGTGAAGAACCACACTCCAGCCTCTACTTTGTCAATGCATCTCTGCAAGAGGTAGTGTTCGCGAGTACCTCGGGGACGCTGGTGCCCTGCCCGGCTGCAGGCATCCCTCCTGTGACTCTCAGATGGTACCTAGCGACGGGCGAGGAGATCTACGATGTCCCCGGGATCCGCCACGTCCACCCCAACGGCACTCTCCAGATCTTCCCCTTCCCCCCCTCCAGCTTCAGCACCTTAATCCATGATAATACTTACTATTGCACAGCGGAAAATCCTTCAGGGAAAATTAGAAGTCAGGATGTCCACATCAAGGCTGGTGAGTGCTTCCCTCCGTGTCTTTTGGGGACAGTGGGGGTGGGGGGGAGGAGAGAGTAAACATGCCATGGCAGCCAAGGACCAAGGAGAACCTATCATCCATTCCCCTTGGCACTGCTGATGCATTCTGTGAGGAGACAGGTCCCCGTGCTAGATTTCCAAGTGCTTTGCGTGTAGGAACCAAAACTTTTGAGTCTTAGTGATGATCCACTGGATGGTTCTGAGCTGCATCCCAACCTCACTACATTTTCAGTAATCGGTCCATTGACTTAAGCACTCTGTGGCCTCCCCACCCCATGTGTTTGCCTCCCCCGACCCCACCTAGGGGAGGAGAGGAAAATAAAGGACAGGCGCTTGAGCTGGAAAGGAAACAGCATAAATGCACAATGGGAGCAAAATCAACCCAATATCCTTGTAAAGTAAAAAGACCATGTGAACATTTTTGACTTATCACATATTGCTGAAATGTGTTCCTTTTAACAACATATTGTGACTTCTAAAACATCATCACTGCTACCAGTCAGTGCAGGAAGGCGGTCTGATATACACAGCCATCAAAGGCCGTACGTACAGGACATAGCGTTTCCTTCGAGAGACGCAGCTGGGCCCTGAAAAACAAATTCACAGCTGGGCTTCTGTTAGCAAACAGCACTTTAACATTTTTCAGCCCTGCCCGAAATACTTGGGCTGGCTGACATAATGTAGGGCAGACAGAGGGTGACTGTGTTGTCTTATACCCCACTAGCCAGAGGGCTTTGTAATGAGCTCAGCAACTGCTGCGGAAGAGTCAGCGGAAGTCATGACACAGGCACAATCTGAGATGCTCCTGAACTCCTGCACGGAGCTCCTGAGCTCCGTGATAGAAGCTCAAACGTTAGACTATGACTCATTTTACCCGCTCCTCATTTTCCCAACTATATTTGATCTCCATGACACGCTCACGAATTCCTCAGCCCGCACAGGAATGTGAACCTGAAATTTCAAACAGCTCCACCTGTATGTATGAATCCATTATTTCTGTCAGGGTTTCCTGTCAGATAAAGGAATCCAGTGCTTACCCCTGCTTTAACTACTGTTTTCTGTATTTGTCATAGAACTGATTGTTTTGGCATGACATCGAAGTTTTGCAAGGATGGGGGTTGCATGAGCATGACTGCCATCGGTGCCACCCTCCCCTCCTGCACAGCCGTGCCATTGCTGTTTATGTGCTGAGGCCCTGCAGTGCGTGTGCACACACACACACACACACACACACACACACACCGTGGCTGTGTCAGTGTGATCCTGTAAGATGGGCCTTCCTATTGCCCAGATGAAAGTTCTTTTTAAATCTGATTTTGCTTCCTATTCTGGACACATTATGGTTGCTTCCTATTCTGGACACATTATGGCCACAATAATCACGTCTTTTATTTATTTAGTTAGTTAGTTCTGTGAGATGTGCCCAGGGCCTTGTGCAGGCTGAACACATGATCTGCCACTGAGCCACACTTCTAGCCCTCCAGTCATCTTTTAAATTACATATAAAATGCTTGAAAGTCTGTGTGAATCGATGTAGACACCAGGGCAGAACTGAGCGGCTCTCAGAAGGGCACGGGGGGGGGGGGAGGGGTGCACAGTTCACTCTGATAGTTAAGTGCAGGTTTGAGCCAAGGGAGCCCTTGGTTATGGGGTTCTCTCCTGAGGGTCAGGTCTTCCAAGCTGTCCTGCTAGATGGGGAGGGGGTTGTCTTGGGGTAACCCATCACATCATCACCTCTCCTTTGGGAGCACCAAGGATTCTTTTTCTCATCAAGAAATTTGCTAATTTTGACCTAGATCTGGGTGCAGCAGCAGATGGAGGGTTTGATCATGGTGACTTACTCATCATCAGTCCTCGTTCTGCTCTAAACCCTTCCTTGCTCCTTGGGTTCCAAAGGCTGGGGTGCTGATGGGCTGCGTGACGTGGATGCCCCTTGCCCAGGCTGCAGGTGCCAAGCAGCAGTCATAGTATGATGGGAGCAACACGGAATGAATGTCTAGCGGGGCTTCCTCCTCAGTCACACATGGCTGGGACCTCTGCTTGTGGCCAGGTGGAGGAGCAGGCGCTTTTCATCTGAACCAACCCAAAGCCAAACAAAGAAAAGAAATCCCAAAGGACAAGGTGTAGGAAAGGACAGTCAAGGCCAGGCCTCAGGCTCAGAGGAAAGCGGTCATCGGAAGCTAGAGGTGACAGAGTCTGCGACTGCACCGTTTTACCAGGTTACATTCTGGAGATAAAAGCAATCTGCCCACAGCTGTGTACAGCAGGCTCATCCCTAAGTGCCCAGTAGGGCAACAAAGTGGCGTTCACTGTGGGAATGCAGAAAGAAGAGTCGCGCTCCCACTTCACTTTAGTTAGGCTCCTCCCACACGCTACTAAACATGGCCTCAGCCTTCCCCTTTCCTGTCTGTGTGTCTTCAGTGCCCATCTTTAGCAAGAATTCTACTGAGTTTTTCTCCACCGGATATGTAAGCAGTTCCTCAACCCCCACCTTTGATGTGTAGATGTTAGGCATCCCTTTGGCAAGAATCCCAGAGGCCAGTTTGGCAGGAATCCCTCTACCCTTCATGTCTGTTTACTCAATTTCTATCCTTTCATAGAAAATTGCACCATCTCCAGAACTGTAAGCTGGTAAAGCAGCGCGATCGCAGGCTGACTGTCACCTCCAGCTTCCCGATGACCACTTTCCTCTGAGCCTGAGGCCAGGCCTCAACGCTGTTGTTTCCTACATTTTGTCCTTTGGGACTTTTTTTCTTTGTTTGGCTTTGGGTTGGCTCGGATGAAAGGCGCCTGCTCCTCCACCTGCCCACAAGCAGAACTCCCCGGAGGAGGAAGGCTCCCTAGGGAAGGGGATGCACCTCGAGACCATAATGTCATGTGAAACAAATCAGATGCACATGCTTAAATGTCACATGGTTTCTCTGATAAGAGAAACCCAAAATATAAATAAAAAGCCAAATAAAAGATAGATAATAGGAAGTAGAGAGGTGGATCTTTCGTAAATGGGAAGGAGATCCGGAGATGGCGGAGTGGGGGGAAAGAGAGGGAAGGGGTGAAAAGGGGAATGGGATGTGTTCTGTGCAGGCACCAAGGAGCTTTATGTACTGCGTACGTGGACGGAAAGAAAGAGAGAGAGAAAGAGAGAGAAAACAGAAAAGACTTTAGATTTACTTTAAAAATAATTTTTAGCCTTAAAGAACAAGTCTTAACTACTAGAATACACGTAACAAGCAAATGAAGGAATTATTTCCTGAACTTAAGTGTACAGCAGCATGATGAATAAAGCCTGGCATAAAGACAGCAACATATAATTGTAAGATATTTTAGTGTAGGTGAAGTTGTGTGTCATCACCGTCCTCTGAATGGAGATGAGTTACAGATGCACACACCATAAAGCCTGAGGCAGTTATTAAAAACCAGCCAGACTTAGAGCTAAAAAGCCAATGAAAGATAAAAATGATCATTAAAAGATAATCCAAAATCAAGAAGAAAATAAGAAAAATGAAAAAAAAAACTTAGTGATGGAGATAGAAATCAAATAGGAAAATGATAGCATTAAACCCAAGATGTCCCATATTTATGTTATATTGTAAATGCTCCCAATATTTATGTGACATTGTAAATTACAAGGCAGAGATTGCCAGATCAGATCAACACTGCTTAAAAGAAATAGTAGGGTATTAGTCAGTTTTCTATTCTGTACCAAAATGCCTGGGGCTGTATATTTCATTTTTTTAAGAAGACGTTTGTTTAGCTCACAGTTTTGGAAGCTTCCTCTGTTCAGTCTCCACTGAGGGTCTCCGGAGCAGAGTCACAGGGTGCCTAGGAAATGGAAAGTGAAATGGCCACGTGCAGGACTGCCATGCGGAGGCAGGAGGCCAGGGAGATCGAGGGCCAGGCCTCTTATGACACTCAGTCTCTGAGAACTAACAGGGCTCCCGTGAGAACTACATCGATCCCTTTTGAGAGGAGCATCCCTGTGACCCAGCCGCCTATCCCTAGGTGCTCCCTTTCAAAGGGTCGACCATGTCTCAAAATTCCCACACGGGGACCACACTTCCAGTACACAGACCTTTGCAGTCCACCTCAGACCCTAGCTGAACTACAGCAAATAGGTTAAAAGAAAAGATGAGGAAAGATATACTGTATCATGCAATCACATCAACTTAATCATAATAAAACATTGTGTGTGTGTGTGAGAGCGAGAGAGAGAGTGCAGCTGCATTTTTATAAAAGTATACTGTCTATCAAAGAATATTACTAGGAGGGCCAGGGATATAGCTCAGTGGCATAAGTGCCTGCCTGGGAGGTGCAAGGTCCGGAGTTTGATTCCCAGTACAAAAAATAAAGAATATTAAAATGGACAGAAAGGTCATGACATAGTATGAAATGCCAGTTAATTAAGAGGATATGACCATTCTGAATGTTTGTGAACTTAATAACAGAATTTTAAAATACATAATATACAACTGAGAAAGCTGCAGGGAGAGACAAATCAAAATTAGCTTTTCTTAATACCATCTTTACACGGATGTAAAGCCCCTCATACTTCAGGGAACAAAATTTGTGCCAGGTGCACTGTCAGAAGCACATAGGAGAGCAGCTGGCCCTCTCCTTCCTGCCTCAGCCTCCCAGACTGGGAGGCCATGCACCCCCACACTCAGCTGTGAAGGATATTTTCATTGTTTTTGAAGATTCCTAGAAAAGGCTATCTTTTTTGACTTTTTTTCCCATATTTAGAAAATTCTCCCTTGGTCCTCAGAGGGCCGAGAGCAGTTTCCCATCAGCATAACTCCTGAGCAGCCGCTCTCTGTGTGGAAGCCCCTCCCCCTGCCCGACGCCTTCATGGGGGTGGTCGAGGGTTCCAAGCACACGCTTGCCTCTGGAGTACAGAGCAGTGAATGTTAATGGGGCGATGCAAGGCGGGAAAGGTAGGTTTCCAGGGCTTTTCCTAATAAATCGGTCCTGCAGTTACTCCACGCGAACACGTCGTGTGAGATGCGCTCAGGATAGCCTGCTGCCCATGCGCCTGACCGGTTCCCTTCTGCCCTGCAGTTTTACGGGAGCCCTATACAGTCCGTGTGGAGGACCAGAAAACCATGAGAGGCAATGTTGCAGTCTTCAAGTGCATTATCCCCTCCTCGGTGGAGGCGTACGTCACTGTTGTCTCATGGGAGAAAGACACCGTTTCACTCGTCTCAGGTAGGCTGTGCGTCCGCGGGTGGGACTGGGAGCCCTGATCAAGGCCACGCCTGGCGGGGTCGGCGCTGCGTGCCTACGTTGGGGGCTGGCGTTGATGCCCTGCTCCGTGTCCATCCGGTGTAAGTGCTTTGTACTGGTTTATAGGAGCTCGAGGCAGCAATCTGTGGTGGATCCATGGTGGATGGAAAGGACTTATTGTGCTGCAAGTGTCACTGTAATGCTCCACTTCTATGAGAAAGTATGGTTTTAGTTCTGCTTTTTCAGATAGATGAGTGGTAGGATTGCGTCTGCGAGACCCCTCAGTCTTCTAAGTGCGGCTGCTATTCTGAAACCAAAATCTGTAAAAGTAGAAGCCTCGACTTCGTGTGCTGTTGGTTCTTTCAGATGTGTTGAGAGTTGTATCTCTACCCTGAACTGGCGCGTTCTATGAAGAATATATATTTAGAACTGAGATGTGTAGGAGAACTTTCTTGGCATGTATTTGCTGGGTAAAAATGAAGCAACAGAAACGAGCTCTGAGGTATTGCGTCCTCACTGCTGACAGCGCCTGAGTTGATCTCTCGCCCCGTGCTGACTCTCAGGAAAGACCACGGCCACACAACACTTACTGGGTTTTCCTGAGTTGTGTCTCCATGGATAGTGGCTTTTGGCACATTTAACAATGTGTTGTCTGCTTCTGGAAAAGAACTATGATGCACACATTCCATTCCAAAGCACATAACCATTGCTTTTGTTTGTGTGTCTTTATACACTTAGACACAAGTGTGCACACACACATATTCACATGATTCCTGACTAATGCCAACATTTTATCAGTTTATAGAGAGAATTTGGAACTTAGGGCTCGTAGAGACACACCGTTTTTATTTTGCAGCATACTGAGTAGCTGGGGAGTATAGTTACTGTGCATCAAAGAGGTTTTTAGAAGATCCAAGTCCAAATGGAAATATTTTGCCCTCGCAGCTCCCTGTGGGAATGTGGGGTACAATGGAAGTTTTTAGCTTTTCTTAATACCATCTTTACACGGATGTAAAGCCCCTCATACTTCAGGGAACAACAAACCCCTATATTGATTCATCTGCCTAATTTGTTAACTTTAGATACTGAAAAATACGAAATTTGAGAACTGAAATATGATTGCAACAATCAGAATAGAGATTCCTGTGTACCCCTTTGTTTGCTAGTTGGCATGTTTTAAGGTCTCGCTTTCTTCCCTTGAGGGCTGTTTTGGTTTTCTTCATGGCGGATAGAGACATCTGATGACGTTACTCCCTGGGGTCAGCGTCAGAGGGGAGGACTGTAACATCACCACAGTGAGGCGGTGAGGACTCGGAGGGCAGGACAGGGCTGGTGTTGCAGTCTCCACGCTCCCGGACCTCGCCCGGTGGGCACTCCAGCCCTGTGTCTAGTTCCTGGTCTCGAGTCTTGCCTGGCAGAGGAAGTGTGCACGGAGAGGAACTGCACTTGGAGGTAGCCCGTGTTCTTTATTGATATTACAGTGGTGCCTTCATTCCTGAACTTAATTCTTCCCAGGGACCTGCCCCTGGCCTTCTGCAGACCGACTGTAGCACACGTGTTTTCTCTTCTTCAGGACTCCATCAGTAGGCTCCTTTGTTCGTCCTTCCATAGCCATTTAGAGAGGTGGATGGACAGACAGACTCAGGTAGGTCAGCCTAAAGAGCTGTAGCTAAAAGCGACCTTGCAGGTGACAACAGGACCCCCAAGCTGTGTGAGATCCATAAGGAGAAGGGGAAAATCGAGGTGCCGTTGCTTACAACAGCCCCGGGTCCAGTGCCCGGCCCGCTCCCATCGCAGTGCCTGGGGACGGAGACCGCGCAGTCATGAGAGGTGGTGAAGTGGTTAACGCGGCAGTTTTAGTCAGCAGGCCAGTTTCGGATGGCTGGGTGTCAGGCTTCTGCTTCTCTAGAGGTCAGCACAGGGCACGCACGGGTGACCGCAGAGTCAGGGTAACGTGAGGAGGTCCTGGGGTCTCCCTGCGCCGCATTGCAGGGGCTCACCCTTGGAGAAGGCCGCAGGGGTGCAGGGCCGAGCTCACATAGCCCACGCACAGGAGCAGACCTTTGTTCTGAATGAACGCTGGGCTTCAGGAGCAGTGTGCCGAGTGCTGCACGCACAGCAGAGGACCTGTGAAAGTGAGTTTGTCTCTGTCTTGCTGACACGCTGCTGTCTCCCCTGCAAGTCCCGCGGGCCAGTTCAGATTTGTCCCTTGGCATGGCCCACACCACGCCTCCCTCCTGAATTACCCAGCCACCCGGACTGGGGAGAGTGTGGCTGGTGAATTTGTCCCGGGAAACCTCGCTCCTCTAGGCAGATCTCTCCCTGTAGCAACTGCTTCTTCCTGGTGGAGAAAATGGGTTAACTAACTCAGCAATGAGACACAGACTGTGTGGGCTTCTCACTGCCGTGGGGTCAGCTGACCTCAGTACTTGGGGGCTGCTGGCCATTGGGACAAGGCGCTGAAGGACATTGGCCAGCTACGGACATGACTGCTGCAGGGGCCTGCGTGCTCCACATGAAAGCCATTATTCCCTGGTGGTGCTGGGGTGCTGGGCCAGTAGGGTCAGGGCTGGCCACTGGGACAGGGTGCTGAAGGACGGTGGCCTGGTGTCCTTTCTGGGGTCAGGCTAACCCTCTTCCCTGTGTAGATCACCAGGTTTCCTATACCAAGGACATAAATGAAGTCATTCATTTTGTGTTGTCTTTGGAAAGAAAGGTCCAACAGCTTAAAAGTAGGAACCTGTCATTCCCCTGGAGAAATGGAGGTCTTGATGTCCAGTGCTACGTGGCTGTCTGCTGGGGCTCATGCCCTGGGCAGTGGGCCCACACCCGTCTCCTGCACTCTCCAGCCTTGGGGTGGTGGAGAGCAGGGCTCCAGGGGACACATGGGACAGACGCAGCACGTACCACTACGTTCTCAGTGACCCGCTGTCTGCTCACCTCACCGACAGACCTCAGGCTTCATGGTATCTTTGTCCTTACTTGGCCCAAGCAACAGTGAAAGCGTCTTTGGTGTCAGAATCTTGATGTGGCCTGGTAAGATACAGCAGTTTGTTTGGCTGGAGCTTGGGAGGTGCTGCCGAGGTGGAGAGCGCTCGGATGCCATCCTGGAGGAGAACCAGGGCACTGCTGCTGAGGTCCCACTGGCTGCCGGGGAGAATGGCTCCCGGACGAGCCCAGCATCCCATCTCTGCTTCTCCTGATAAAATTGTGAGCCTCGCACCAGGGGTTTCAGCTACATTAACATCAAAGACACAGCCCAAGGGTAACCGGATTTGGCAGATGGAAAAAGCAAATACTACTGTTCCCGGAGAAACCACCTCTCTCCTCAGCAGCCGATGTGTTTGCTGCTCCCATATTTCCTTTCTGAACACCTCCGAAGGCGATTGCTCCTCGGGAATTTTATCTCCTAGGATCCCTGAGTTCAAGTCCAAGAATGACTGTCCTCTTTCTGTGTTTTGAGTAAAATAGAACTATTTTCTATCCACAGTGTATATCAAAGGGCATCCGCCTCACCCCCTAAGGTGAGCACCAGCCCTGGTGTCGGGTATCTGCCAAGTTTGGGTCTGGGCACCCCAGATAGCACAAGACCTGGGCCCCGGGCTGGCTGCTGCGCTGTCATGGTTGCTAGCGGGGCTGCGCCGGCAGAATGTGCAGGTTCCAAGGATGCGGAACCAGCGGGTGGGGGGGTCTCCAAAGGAAGGGGTTATGCATGAGAGTCTGTGTGCCACCCGCCAGGTTCCCACCGGGAGGAGACACTTAGCACAGCCTTGTCATTCGGACAGATAGACAGACAGCTTCCCAGAGGGTCCCGCTGCCCAACATGGGTGGCGGGATGCTTCCCCAGGCCCGCTTCTCCCAGGGCTAGGACTTGCCCCTGCACGCCAGCTTCTGTGAGGTCAGCAGCTCAGAGTGGCCTGTGAGCGCTTTGGCATGCACTGTGCTTCCTTCAGGATGGTGGCTTAAATTTCTTCTCATGCCTTCAAGCATCCTTTGGGATTCTCCGTCACCGCACTGAAGAAGTGAGGGGTTGAGATAGTCCGTCCTTTCGCAGCTCTGTTGCCAGTATCCAGACAGTCCTGGCAACAGAGAGCGCTCCCCACAGAGCACTTTAACACCCCACAGCACACTGAGGTGTCTTTCCTTGCTTCCTCTGGGCGTAAATGCAGCTCGTCAACCACAGGGCACTGGGCCATCTTCTCCGTGCTCTTCTCTGTCCCTATGAACTTCCACTCTTTCTAGACAGGGTACAGATGACCAGTTAACCCAGTCAGATTGAGTTTGGGCCTGGCTCTGTCTCTGGCCTCCCATTCATCTGTGAGTTCTCATTTCGGGAAAGAGGAAGGGGGACCTGGGATCATCGGCAGCACAGCCCTGGGAAGCAGCCACCTGGCGCAGCTTGTTGTGGTCATCGTTGTCTGCAAGCTGAAGTCATGTGTTGGAGATACGGGCTACACAGGTGACTTGGCACAGAATCAGAGAAGAGGGCTCCAGACTCAGACGCTGAATAACTTCCAGATACGCGGGTGGTCATTGTGCCGTCGAGGCACAGTCGGGACCAGAGATACCGTGGATTGTGTGGGCTCCCGGGGCTGCTGCCTCAGCCCTGGCTGGACCCGGCAGAAGACAGTCTGGTCCCTTCAGTGGGAGGAGGTGGTGGCTGGGCTCCAACGGGCCAGGAGCTGCAGGCAGAATAGGGGTGAACCTCAACAGACAGGATGGGGTTCTGACCATGGAGTCCCCAGCTGGGAGTCACTGCCCCCCCACTGCCTCCTCTGGCCTCTGGGCATTCTAAGATGGGCATCTGGCTCCTGCACCAGAGGTGTTCACTGCTCCTCCAGGTCCCTGAAGTGCCCGCTCCCGCTCTGTGTTGCCAAAGGTGTCCCCAGCTTTTCCTCGGGGCCTCAGGACCAGTTTTCTTCAGCAGGATCTGAGAGCGGGTCTCAGATGCCCCCTTCCGTGGCACATCCCTCCCTCAGGAG